GACCCACTCGGGAGATCAAAGGGAGAGGCTTACAACACAGCTGAAGATTCAAGAAGGAGCTCACCAAGACTTTCAGGAGAGATGATATGGGGGTGATTACAAAGTAAAGTTGTAGAGTCCAGTTTAAATCGTGTGTGTACGTGTGTACATGTGTGTGTACATGTGTGCTGGCTCCCAAAGGCCAGAAAGGGACACAGATCTCCTGGAGCCATAGTTAAAACAGTTGTGAGTCTCTCAATGTGGGTGCCAGATATTCTGGTCCTCTAGAAAGCAGAACAGGCTCTGTCCAGCAATCTCTCCAGCCGCCTTCAGATTTGTAGGAACAAAGACAATGCCCATCCATCTATGCCTCCAGTTTAAGCTAAATCTAATCCATGGCAGAGCCAAAGCACTTCAAGGTGGTGCTGAACAGATTAGTGCCCAAGTCCTCCCTTTAACTTTACAGGGTGGCTTGGACCACTCCTGGCTGTGCAGCGGACAGTCAGTGCTGAGACAATGGACAAAGGGTAAAGTGTGAGGGCTTCATGACTTGAGAGGCTAACAGGAGAAGGGACTGGTAAATGGTACAGAAATCTGCTAGGAACCTTCCAAAAATGAAGGCAGCTAAAATCATCCAGTATACACAACATGCCCAGGACATTCCTTAGGGCAATCCTCACACCAGTCTTACAGATCATGTGTTGCCATCGCCCCTATTTTCCTCAGTGAAGAAACTGAGGCCTGGCATTTGCCTAGTGTCACACAAGAATGGCAAGAATGGCACATTAGTGCCCATATGCAGCCTTTACCGACAGCATGGATGTAGGTGACCTTTACCCACCTGCTTGCCCTGACTTCTGAATCTATCCGTTTGCCCAGCCCTCTGGCCTGTTTCCTAGCTGCCCCAGCCCAGGTGCAGAGATCTGGAAGAAGTCATGTAGAGGCATTTCTATGAGGGCATGAATTGCAGGGTAGCAAGCGGGGATCCCAGGGTGAATGGGCGAGCCCAGCTAGGAGACAGGGAAGCGTCTGCAGGGAATCGAGGCCTGCTCTCCTTTCTTACCCGCGGTTGGGTCCTTTGGGCACAAACCAGGGCCCAGCGATGCCGATGAGGCCCCAGAATGTGGTGAAGATGATGACAGGGAGGGCAAAGGAATGAGCTGTCATGGCTGGGTGAGCGACGCTCAGGTGGGGTATCGGATGGAACGGCGGACGCTAAGCAGGTGTAAGCCCCGGCAAAGGGCGGTGAGCATGCGCAAACGGATCCCAGTCGGGGAGGCCCTGGACCAAACGAATCTGTGCTCGCGCATCTCTGAACCCAGTTCGCTGGGAACACCGCCCGCTCGCCAGCAGTCACTCAGAATCAAGGGCGGGACTTCCGAGGAACCTTTCCCTTGATTGGCTGAGTAGGATTTGCAGGTGGTTCCAGGCTTGGGTTTGTGTTTTTCTTTCTTATTCCCACCAGGAAGTGGCAGGTCACTTGCAGTGCTCCGGCAGCCCAAGGTAGCTGGGGACAGGATTGGAGAAGACCCTAGCCAGAGCAGAGGCTGCGTGGGAACCACAGGGGTTTCGACTAAGGGACTTCATGGAGCTGAGAGCCCACAAATTTGGCCTGAGCTAAGGCCTCCCCTCAGCAAAGTGAACCTTGTTCCCCCTAGCACTCCCGCGCATAGCTCATTGTTACACTGAACCTTGGAGATGCCCAGCCTCTGGATCAGGCCACTGGTAGACTATTCTTCCTCTATGATAGGGGTTCAGGCGATCTTTGTGAAACATAGTAAGACTTTGGACACTTGAGGACAGCCACTCCTGAAGGGCTACAGTCCGGAGGGAGCTGGAGGGGGAAACCAACTCAGCACAGCAGTCATTCTTGAAAGGAGGTGTGCAGCAGCTAGGGACAGATCTTATGTTTCACTGGGAACCAAGTCCCTGTACACCCAGCTTACCCACTCGAATTTACACGCTGCGTTTCTGGTCATCTGTATGAAGAAGAAAGATAAAGGCCTATCTTACACTAAGTCAAGATTGGAAAGACATCATGGAAGGCCTCTCAGGAAAATTCCACAACAGGGAGGCCCAGGCAAGAGCCAACACTGGTACTCTGTCCGTCCATCTTTATAATGGACTCTGACATTTTTGCCCCACAGGTATGCTTCCTGGGTTTTCTGTAGCAAGTCCCCCGAGCTGTGGTCTAGTAGTTGCTGTTGCAGGGAGGGATTAAAGTGGCAGCAGGAACACAGAGTCCCTGGGACCTCTTGCATGGATTAATTTTCTCATTGTTCTGACAAAATAAACTTAAGGAAGGGTTTGTTTTGGCTCGAATTTCACCATGGTGGGGAAGACACTGGGGCAGTTGGTCGCATTGCATCCATAGTTAGGAAGCAGAGAGAGTTGAACGTTGGTGCTCAGCTTGCTCTGTTTTATTCAGTTTGGGTTCCCAACCCATAGAATCAGCTACCCACATTGAGGTTGTGTCTTCCATTTCAATTAATCCAATATAGACATGCCCAGAGATTTGTTTCCTAGGTGATTCTAGATCAAGTTAACAGTGTTGTATCACACTCTGCAGGGAGTGTTAGCCCACTGCCCTTACCAGAGCTACAGGTCTTCAGTGTTCTTAGCTTTATGTGGGGACCACTGTGATATATCCTGGGAGAGGGGACCTTTTGTGAATCTCTGTGCCAGAGGCCTTCCATATAATCCAAGGGGACTTCTGAAAGCACAGGAGGACCCTACTGAGGAGGATGTACATACTCAAAAACACTGGCAGTGTCTTCTCTCCAGCCAGCCCTACGGAGGCTGAATGTAGATCAGGACCACAAGAAACAGCAGCAAATTGCTGGTGGGAGGTTTTTGTCCCCAAATGTGGCCAGCACTTCACCTATGGTAGATGCCTAGTCGCCTGCAGAGCCACAGGCCACAAAGTACTTCTGTTGTAGTGATTTTTGTGTCATCTGAGATAGGGTTTCCTCCTGCCTCAGCCTTCCATGTCTCTGATTACAGGTTTGTGTCATCGTGCCTAGCTCTTTCTGCTGTAACAGGCAGCATACCTGCACAGGGGCCCCTGGCAGTTGTCTTGTCTATGGAAAAAGGCTAAATGACGAGTCGCTTTCAGGCACCCATGATTGGTTGCAGAGGTGAATGTACCCTTGGGTGTTGAGGGTGGCAAGTTATGGACAGAGGCAGCTTAGAGCCAAGTGAGAAGCCCAGTGGTGGGACTGGAACGGGAAAGCCTTCTTGGGTCTGAGGAATATGTTTACCCATGGTTAGGCTCACACTAAGGAGGTTCTGCCTCTGAGTCCCCAACAACAGACAGTGAGACCAAGAAGGTACGATACATCAGGTAGCTGTACCCTGGGTTCCTCTCACACTTGGAGAAGGCAGAGGCACAGCAGGCTCCCAGGTCTCAGCTCACTACACTCACCTTCTAGCATGTTCCTTGAAGAGGCTACCTTGCTTTGTGGCAGGTGATGCCTTCCCTGGGAGCTTTCCTAAGAAAATGCAAGGCCCACCCCAGTGGAGACTACCTATGGCTCCCTGTTTCTACTATACCCACCTACCTCCTTGGAAGGCCAGGGAGGAGTCTCCAGCTCCACTGTGGGCTGCCTCTAAGTTAGCAGCTGCACAGCTGTAGCCCAGAAACAGCCACACAGACTGTTGCCTCCAGTGGTGCTTTACTACTGATCTGACCAAGTCTCCTGGCCAGAGGTCTGGTAGTCTCCCAGCATCTGTGCTACTTTGGTCCATCCTGCCAGGAGGAATAGTGGAGGACACCTGACCCCCGAGCAGAGCTGCCGAGGATATCCTGAACCAGTCCACTGGGAATTCTTTTGAGCGGTGTGACGGCTTTGGTACTGCTGAAGAGAAAGGGCGGCTTTCCCTTGAAAGCCCAGCTTTTGGATGAAGTCCTCTGACAGCAGTGAGCACGGAACACCAGATTCTACCTCTCAGGGTGCACTCTCCATCCTCTCACACCCACACCCACACTCACACAAAATCGGCCCACACGGGATTCAGAGAGGAAGGAAGTATAAAGACAACAATAAAGTCAAATCCTGCTTTATTCAAATAGCAAGAGTTAAGACATGAACATGGTTTTTAAATCTAATTTGTAACACCCTTGAAACCAGGAGCCCAGAGCACCCTGGACCAGTCATCTTTGGTTTTGGCTACACAGACGCCAGTCTGAGTGAAATGGCGACCCCATACTGTCCTGACCACACTTAGCACTCTAGGGACTTGCCCTCTGAGGCACCAGGTCTGGAGGTGGCTATAGTCTACTGTGTTTAGCTGGTCAGGGCCTGAGCTTCCTCACTTCCCCAGGTCTCTATCGCTACTGAAATCAAAGTGCTGAGTCCAATATTGGCTACTTGGGGCAGCCCAGTAGGCACCAGTTACCAGGCAAGGGGAGGGGTACGTGCCAGGAAGTATACAAGATGAGAACGGGCAGGAGCCAGGGGTATGGCACAAGCCTTTAATCACAGCACCCGGGAGGCAAAGGCACATGGATCTCTGTGCGATCAAGGCCAGCCCATGTACATAGCATGTTTCAGGGCAGCAGAGGCTACATAGAGACAGACAGGTGGAGAGGAAGGGGTACGGGGTGTCAAGCATGTTAGAAGGCAGGAAAAGAGGGGGAGGTCGGGGTTGATGCCAAAGGGGTAGTGCCGCCTCCTCTTCCTCCTCCTCGAAACGCCCTTTGGCTTGTTTTCTCTGGAGGCCAAACCAGATGTATCCAGTGAAATGCAGCCACACCTAAGAGCCAAAACAGGACCAGCCTGAGCACAAAGGCTGCAAGGCGAGGGCGCTCACCATGTGCCCCCTTCAGGGCCTAAACACGAACATTGCTTCTCTTTCTTGAGCTAGCAAAGGGTCAGGGAGACCTGAGTGAGACACACAGGCTAGAAACCTGCTCTATGCATGACAACCACCCTGTGTTTCTTAGCCTAGAAACACCCTGCTCCACATCTGCAAGTGACCTCAGCGTGCTGGTGTGAAGACAGGGTGCTTCTCCACCTGGTAGCCACCTCAGCTCCCCAAGCCTCATTCCAGAAACCATGACTACACCGCATAGGACTGGGGTCTTGCTGAGGGTATTTTTAAAGGGAAGATGTAGGAGAGGAGCTTGCTGAAGCCATGCAGATGGCTCAAGCCTGACCTAGAAAATCCCTGGACTCAGAAGATTTTGCCTGGGTCACCTAGATTTGGAGCCAAAGGCCTGACTGTCTCTTTCCTGCAAGATCCTAGGCTGAATAGGGGATCTTCTTGAGCAGGAAACTGTACACTGTACACCAAGGCTAGGCACTGGGGCAGAGAGTCATAAGGTCTGCATGTGAGGCACCTGGGTACAGAATCTCTGGGGTTTTCAGCACCTGTTGGAAGGAGTGGGTAGGTAGCTTGGTCAGAGGCTGTGTGTGTTTATAGCATAGACCAGGGGTCTACAGCAGACAAACAGCAAGCAAGGTTCCTGCACATTTAAAAAGAGCAGGAGACTGAGGCAAGGAGCCCTTCCATTGGGCAGTTCTCCAACCTGAAGTTGAAGAAGGCAGAGCCTAAAAAGTTCATCCTAACCAAACAGGCAACCACTGAGCCTGCAAGGTCAGGCTGCCCTGGAAGGACTAGGCTGATTCAGGTCACTGTAAGGGGGAAAAGGGAGATGGCCAGAAGACCTAGTTTTGCTGAAGGCCCTTCTATGAGAATGGAAGTGACCACTGAGCTAGATGGTACCCACAGAGATCCTGAGGAAGCATATGAGAAACTATAGCCGCTGAGCTGGTTTGGGGAGTATGAGTCTACACATGCAGGATGGGGACCATTTCCCAAGCTCTGGTGCTTCTGAGCAGTCTGCAGGACAGGTGCATCTGTCCCGTGGACAGCAGGTGAGGACAGCACCTCTGCCTACAGTACAACTCTAGTGGCAAAGCTGATAGCTTTACCGCTAAGGACAAGTGCAGGGTAGGAGCGGCTAAGTGCTCTAGACAAAACCCTTCTCTCCGAGACTGAGGCTTCCACTGACTACTGCTACAGCTACAGGGAGCCAACAGGCACTTGGATTCTCTGTGGCAACCACATGAGGAGTGAAAACGAGGCACAGAAAAGAGGAAGGGGTTAATCATAGGCGCACTGTCTGCAGAAGAGCGGGCCTGGATTCAACACCTTCCAGCTCCCACCTCTTGTGTATGTCTCAGGAAACTACAGCAGCCAACCCAGGGGTTCAGAGGTGGGGAGCGACCAGGCTTCCTTCGGAGGAAGCATGCTTTACTACGTAGGAGATGTGATGAGAGCACCTTTCGCATGCTCTGTGCAAAGGATATTGGTCTGTTTCATGCTAAAAGCAGGCCTTGAGGGGTGGGGTCTCTTTGAATTCTACTGCATGAGTGGTCCAGAACGGCCCAACCTGGGAGCTTCTGCAGCAGGCCAAGGTCCCTGGAGTGCAATCATTTCCACCGTCACATGGCCTTCCTCATAGGTCACCTCCCATTTGTGCCATGGATGTAGAGAACCAGGGTGCTCCTTTCACCCACCCCCCCAATCTCCCACTTCAGGAAAGTCCTCTGCCAACAGAGTATGTGGGAGTATCTCTCATGGCAGGATCCTTTGGGCAGAACGGACTTGAGGTAAGTGCTTGTCTGGCCTGCCTTTGCACTGGGAGGTATGGTGGCACCTCGAGGGCCTTGCCCCTTGGGATGTCTGCTTCAACCCTTTGTCACTGCCCACATTCTGGGTGCATAAGGTTATCACACCAGGACAGCCCAGAATCTTCAGAAAGCCATTCTCCATAATCAAGGGGGCCCCAAGGCCTTGTCTCGGCTACTCCTCTTCAGGCCCATGGGGTCTTTGAGATGGTACAGGGTACAGAAACCTTCACCATGTGATTTTTCTAAACCTTATGGCTCCCCAGATGGTGTGATGGATGTCTTCTGGGTCGTGGAGTCCTCCTTACAAAGTGTTGTCATCCCCTCCTTCCTGAGCCCTGTATCTGTGGAGGAGACAATGTAAGTACACTGAGCACAGAGGAGTGCCTTACCCAGTCCACATCTAAGTGTGGTAAAGGCAACATTGAAACCAAGCAGACAGGCCAGCCCTGCATCCTGCACTGCTCGCCTGCCTGCTTGTCCTGCACCGCTCGCCTGCCTGTTCATCCTGCACTGCTCGCCTGCCTGCACATCCTGTACCACTCGCCTGCCTGTTTGTCCTGCACTGCTCGCCTGCCTTTTCATCCTGCACTGCTTGCCTGCCTGCACATCCTGCACCGCTCGCCTGCCTGCTCTGCTTGGTTTTTTCTCCAAGGGCAAAGGATTGGGTTGGGGGGCTTTGTCCTCAGGGGACATCTGGAGATGTCTGGAGGTCCTTTTGGTTGTCATAACTGGGATGCAGGTACTGGTATTCCAGAGAGGAATTACTGGGTTAGAGGCCAGGGACTTGCAAGCACCCAGTGCACAGGGACCCACAGCAAGGAGCTATTGAGCCCCAAATGTCCACAAGGCCTGCTAGGGTGGTGGCAACATCACATCAGTCTCGTCAGCCCCACAGAGAGGACAGCGTTCCCTGAGGCATTGCTTCCAGCTCTTCCTCCCTCACCCCTGTGCAGGAGGCAGACTCAAAGAGATCCCTCTGTCACAGGGAAGGAGACACACCTACTTTCTGTCCATTTGTGGTGCCAGGGCCATCAATCTTCCCGCAGAGCCTCGGTCACCCTGATGCTTAAGCCCACTGCCAGTGACCACAGGCTCAGAGATAACAGTGGGGACAATAGGAAGGTGACCGGCTAGAAAAGGGGCAGGAGACAAACCCTGTGTTCCTGCTGAGCAGTGTGGAGAATCCTCACAGAGTGTGGGCCGTGGTCTCCATAAGGGTGATCTCCCATTCAGCTGTTAGTACTCAGCTCTCTGATAGATACAACCCCACCCGCAGGCTGATGGCTAACTGAAGGCTCCCAGGAAGTACCACAGTCCCAGATGGTATGGCTCTACATAACACTTCCTTCACAGCCGCCCTGACCCACACGACTCTCTTCTTTCCCTAAACCCCACTGCCTGACTCAAAGTCAACCCAGCCTGGAACATGATTCCATCCCTGCCTGACACCCTCAGCCCTTGAATTTCATTTCCAGCAATGGGCTTTATCTTAGCAGCATGTGCTCTACTGGTCAGAATGCTGCGTGTTAACTCATTCCTAGATGAAATCAACAGCGCCAGGACACTGACCTGCAGGGGAGCTAGACCTAGAACTGGGGCAGATGACCCCAAAACTGCATGTTATCTACACTGTCCTGAGGCTGTGCACCAGGTATGTGTAGTAGGAGATATTTAAAAACAGAGGCTTCTTCTTAAGCAGCTGCCATGTTCCTGACTAGCCTAGGCCTACAGCCACGAGTGAAGGCAGCATACTACTGCTGCTCAGATCAGGCAGTCTGCTCAGACGACCAGAGCCACCGGCCCTGTCACCCACAAGACACCAGCGTGGGAGATGGCTCTGCCAATCTTCCACGCTGTCTCTACAAGGCTGGGCTGTGCACATACCATCCCACCATTCACTCAGCCCAGTAGGAATGAAACTCGAATACTTAGATTATCCAAAGGCTTTATATATTTGGTAATGCTCAATAACAAGATGCCCACACAATTAGAGGTGTTACCCAATACTCAACCTAGATAGATCAACTACCTTAGACTGCTACAGACACACCATGTCCACTTCCATGTTCCCCTCTCTCTGGTCCTCTCTCCCCTAGCTCCTCCTCTTCCTCTCCTCTTCTTCTTCCTCTCCTTACTCCTCCCAACTTAGCTCCTCCCAACTTGCAGGAAAAGTATCCCACTACAGGTAGGTCTCTCTAGCTGGCTTGTATACTCCTCCAGGATAGTTCTTCTGTCTCTAGCTCCTTCCTGCAAGTGGTTCTCCAAGGAAGAAGAGAGAAGACAAATCTTCTTCCCCTCTCCTGCAGTCCTCATGGAGACCACAGCCCATACTCCTGTGAGGGTTCTCCACACTGCTCAGCGGAAACACAGGGTTTGTCTCCTGCCCCTTTCTAGCCGGTCTCCTTCCTACTGTCCCCACTGTTATTTTACCTCTGAGCCTGTGGTCATTGGCAGTGGCTTGAGTATCAGGGGTGACCGAGGCTCTGCGGGAAGACTGATGGCCCTGGCACCACAAATGGCAGGAAGTAGGAAATGAGTCTCTGCTCAAGTGCTCTGCAGTACTCCACAGGCCCTTCCTCTGTGAGCTGACTTGCTCAGACTGGCTCACTGTGGGACTGGGAGCACAGGGGGCTCCCCTTTGTCTCCCATACTAATGATTCTGCGTACTTACTGGCATGAGAGCAGGCAGGCGCCCGGGCACAGGCCTACATGTGGCTGAAGCGGCGTCCTGAAGAGGTGAGATACCAGAGCTGGATGGCCGGCTGAGGGTCATACTCCGTGACCGCCACACCGTTCACTGCTGTCATCATGAGAGTGTTGAGCACCTCATTGGAGAGTTTGGTCCTCTCATCCGTCCTGATCCTGCTCATGGCCTTGAACCCCCGTTCACAGCAGGAAGTGGAGATGGGCACACTGACCACCACAGCCACGAGTCTGCTCAGCAGAGGGAATCGGCGGTGCTGAGTCAGGGCGGTCTTACACAGCGAGGGGAATGTAAGGTTCTGGGTAGCTGCTTTCAAGCTCAGCCACTCCTTCTGTAGAGCATCCTCGCTGTATCCCACCGGGAGAGAAAGTGCAAAGTGCCTGGCCAGGCCGAGAATGTCGTCATTCCCAAAGCAGGCCAGTTCAGTCCCGCTAGGCCAGGCCACAGGGTCTAACACCTCCATATTCCTGAGCTGTGCCGGCCAGTTTGCACCAAACCTCTGCTGGAGGTACTCGGCCCCAGTCAGGATCATTCTCTTCCTGTCTGCCTGGAATCGCTGCTCAGCCATCTCTCCTCTGTTCAGGGAGATGCCACGGAGCTGCCCGTCCTGGAAGCCAGCGTTGAACTCTTCCTCTTTGGGCCCTGCCTGTTGGCAGAGTCTCTCCAGTGCCACATAGGCGCGCCCCAGGGTCGAATTCAGCTCTGTGACGAGCACAAGATCCTTCTGGCATACCTCAGACAGAGGCTTATAGATGCTCAGAAAATCCAAAATGAAGTGGCAGAACTTGATGAAGTGGAAGCCCTTTATCAGTTTCAGCATGCCTTTGGCCCTCTGACCAACCTGGCCCCCAGTGTCCACCACGCTCTGGAGGTGCCTAGCCAGGGCAGGCCAGCTCACCACAAACGCATTCAGAGTCCGCCTTCTGCTGGCCACCCACCTGACAGCACTCAAGTCCTTCAGACGACTGATTTCCTGCTCCAGGGGGGCTGCGACACCCTGCAGCCCGCTGAGCCTCTTGTTGGAGGACTGATAAAACTTGAAGACAGTCCGGATGTGCCGCTCACACTTCCTCACCAGGTCAATGTTACCACAGGCATCCACTACAGCCACATGCAGCCGATGGGCCACACTGTGCACAGGCAGCAGCTGAGGGATGATCTCCCGGAACTTTTCCACAAGGCCTCCCTTGTAGCTCAGCATGGCAGAGCCATCAGTCCCCAGACCCACCACCCAGCCAGGCTTCCGGAAAGGGATATCCAGTTCATCCAGGGCAGCAACGATGGTCTCAAAGTACCCATCTACCGTCTCACTGGAGAGAGGGGCCAGGGTGATGTAGGACTCCGTCACCTCCATCTGCTTCAAGTAGCGCATGTATATCCCCACACAGGCCTGGTTGGAGGAGTCCACGCAGCTGTCCAATAGCAGGCTCACACACGGAGAGTTCCGGATGTCTCTTAGGATTTCCTTCTTCAGAGTCTCAGAGATATACTTGATGAACTGGGTACACGCAGTGCGGTTCCGGTACTTGCCTAACAGTGTGGTGCCGGAATTCTGGAGCTGTCGCAAGACCTTCTCGAAGTCGTTCAGAGGCCTGGAGTGGTAGGCGATGGAGTAGGCAGCGTTGAAGAAGTGCTCCATGCTGGCCATGAGGTCGCTGGAGATCTCTGGGGTGAGAGTAGGCTGAGGGCTGTCACCTCTGATCTCCACGGTGTTGATGCACAGTTTGTGGGCCTTACTGACCTCATGGTATTTTAAAGTTTCCACTTTAAAAGGCCCAGTGTAACCTTGGACCAAGCGGGACGACTTGTCATGGAGAGTCGGTCTTTCTGTGCAAACAGAGCAGAACAGCTTAGTCTCTTTGGAGTCCATTGCTAACCAAGGAAACTGCTCAAACCAGGACCTCTGAATGGAACGGGGCCTGTATGTGCTCTTGACATTCTTGGGGCCGTCCACGTCTCCTTCACACACGCTGGGCAGGCAGTGCGGGCTACAGGTCTCCACAGAGGCTGGCTGTGAGACGGACTCTATAGCTGAGGCCAGGGTCTGGCTGCTGGCTTCTTTCACTGCCACCATCTTCTTTCTCCCTTTGAAGAAATTAAATTATGCTTGGATTCGTTGTTCTGAGCCCTGTGGTCTACCAGCTAAGACACCCGCATTGAATAAGCACCCATTGTGTAAAGCAGAGAAGCTGAACACCATTCCTCTTTCTAAGATGGCTGCTAGCTTCAACGAACCCTCCCCAGCATTCCCAGTGGAGGCCAACCTGGCTCCCCCAACAGAAAAGGCAGACCCTTGTTTGTTCTTTTGCTGGCTCCCCCACCCACTCACCCCGGTACCACAGGACTATGAGCCACCAGATGCTGGTGAACTCGATCAACCACCCTTGGCCGCAGACAGCATTAGACTAAACAGGCAACTTTAATCTTCTTGTGAAGCTTCACAAACAAGTAAGGATAAATTCAAGCCCCTTCATCTTCGTGTGAGTCTCCGAAAGCATGTTAAGACTCACACAGAGTGGCTACTGGCCAGTCAATGATGGACTGGGGTATTAAACATGTAGCTCGCACAAGTCACAGAGCTGTCACTGTTCCCCAGGAGGAAAGGATGGGAGCCCTGCTCTGAGTCAGGGCTACCCCACTCCTCTTGCCCAGTGTCTCTCATCTGCCTCTTCCCACCAGCTCTGGCACGGCTCCGTCAGAACTCTGCTCCACAGAGGACCTTATTTTTTCTGCACTGTCTCTGTGGCTTAGACTGTTCTACAGTCTCAGGTAGGGTAAGTTCTTTATTCATCTTTGTCTGTCTGTGGCCTTGTAATACAAGAGGTCCAGGATAAGTATGGCTGGACTCAGGTTGTGTGGCTTCCCAAAGCTACATGTGCCCAGTCTTGTGCCTTTTAGAACTTAATGGAGCCAGACTCACCCAGGGAGCGACTTTTCCCTGACTTTAACTCATTAGGATCCTTGATCCAGGGTGCAGATCTCTGTTCCAGTTTTGTGATCAAGTCTGGCTTGGCAGCAGGAGGTTCTGTTGGAGAAATAAAGAGTCATACTATCACTGGGCTGGCAGAGCACACAGCCCACCACAAGCTAGACCTGGCCCTGTAACATGTGGAGACGATGGTTCTGTCCTTGGCAAAGGCCAGTTAGTGAGACAGACTTAGAACATAGTCATCTGAATGCCAAAGTAGGGGCCAGGGAAGACTACTTCTTAGCCAGGATGGATTACTTCTGTGGCCAGTCATGGGAAGCAAGAGCCAGTGAGATGTTTTCAGAAAAGTGCCTGGGGTCAGGGAGTGGGGGCAGAAGAGAGATAAAACAGGAGAAAGATGCCAGATGCGATGCAAAGCCCTATGCAAGAGGCTGAGGCTGCCATCAACAACTGGCTGTGCTTGAGCCCCATATAACCTCAGCTGGCTTTTGTTCAGGTGGCTAGCTGCACATCTTTGAATGAAAGGCCTTTCAAGATATCAACCATCTGCAATGGAGCCTGAAAAGAGATTAAGAGAGTTACGCACCACTCTTTACTTAGCTCAGTAAACTGCTTTCTTATTTAATGTGAAAATCCATTCCTTTCCTGCTTTTGTATGTCTGTGAAGGTGTGCAAACAAGGGTCAGCAAGGTGACCCAGCGGGGAAAGATGCTTGCCACTGAGCTTGATGACCTGAGTTAAATTCCCCTGAAACCAGATGGTGATAGGAAAGAAATTACTCCCAAAGTTGTTTTCTGACACACACACAAAACACACACATGCCATGGCATGTATGTGCCCTGTCATACATACAGACAAGGACACACATGCGCACACACACACACACATAATGTTTAGAACACATAGAAGTAATTAGTAGTTCTGATTGCTTCTGCGAAGAACTGAAGGAGTGTTTATTCTTTGGATCACTTGGATATTCGTATGCATGACATGGGTATTTGTGTGTTTACATATTTACTTTTAATAAAAAGTAAGTAGGCAAAAAGTAAGTAGGCAAATGATTAAAGTGTGGCAGACTGAACTGGTGTCCTTCTTAAAATGGCTTTGAAAGAAGTCCAAAGGTATAACTAAAGGCACAAACCCAGAGAAACACCGTGCTAGACAGACCGGGAGACATAAGATGCGGTAGGGCTGCCCCCCAAGGGGAGCCGAGGGGGTCTGCAGCACAGCCCTGGAGGGCAAGACTGGGTGGGGGGGTGAGAGAGTCATCAGTGGGTAAGGAATGATCAGACGAACAGAGTGGAGAGATGGCTGACACTTGCTCAGGCACCAAGGGAGCCCCAGGAAAGAGCACCATCTTGGGGGAAGAAGAATGGAGATGGAGTATCCAGGAAAATCTTCCAAGAGAAATCCCAGACCCCAGAACACTGAAAAGCGAGGGGTAGTGTTGTTGAAAACGTTTTTCAGTTCATAGGCTCAGGGGTACTGCAAGGCTTGAGGCCCTGGCTGGCCTTGTCTCGTCTTGTACCTTCTGTGCCAGTAAAAAGAAAGGGTGTGTACATGGGCGCTCATGCGCGTGTGTGCCTGTGTGTGTGTGTGTATGTGTGTATGTGTGTGTGTGTTTATGTGCTTCCCTTCCTTCCAAACACCAATATATATTGACTTTTTTAGTTTCTTCTAAGACACACTCAAGTTAAAGCTGGTCCTTACAGTGTCACCTACCCTTAAATGATTCCAGCCATGTACAGAGCTTCCTGTTGTCTGCTTCTAAGGCTTTTTAAAATTAGTTATTATCATCATCATCATCGTCATTATCATCATTTTGAAATAGGGTTTGTATTAGTCCTGGCTGTCCTGGAATTTACAGAGGTCAGTCTGCCTCTGCCTCTCAGAGTGCTCAGATTAAAGGTGTGTGCTACCAGACCCAACAAGGTTTTGTTTTTAAATAGGAATGAACTTAAAAAATGTAGCTTAAGAAAGACCTCCTATATGAAAACAGGCAGAGGAAAGACTAGACAGTCTAGAGATACCACAGGGACCGACATGGAATCTTAAACAGGAGCTGAGACTCGATCCTGAGGGTTGTAACAGGGCTCAGGAGTTAAGATCACTTCCTGCTCTTCTAGAGGACCAGGTTCAGTTTCCAGCACCCACACTGGTGGCTCTCAACTGCTCCTAAGTCCAGCTCCAGGAGGTATGACCATCTTCTAATCTCCGTGGGCATCACACACACATGGCAGACACACACACATACACATAAATAAAAACAAATCTTTCTTAAAAGCATTTACCTATGTGTACGGGTGTTCTGTCTACATGTATGTCTGTGTGCCATGTGTGAACCTCTGTCCTCAGAGGCCTTGGAATTAGAGTTACACAAGTGTGGGCCACCATGTGACTGCCAGGAATCAAACCCAAGTCCTCTGGAAGAGCAGTAAATTTTCTTAACCCTGAGCCCTCTCTTCAGTCCCCAATTAATAAAGGACTTCGAGAGAAAGAATTAATACTAGCAGTAACACAGCCATGATGGCACTGCAGGAGAGAAGACAGGGGGCTCAGAAACAAGATGGCGCTACAGGAAAGAAGACGGGGTGGCAGTGGGGGGGGGGGGTGTCAGAAACAAGAGCAGAAACAGAAAATTCCCAAACACAGAATCATTGGGAAATTTAAAAGGCAGAAAACGGAGAAGAAAAAAAAAACAGCTTTGTCTGGTCTCAATAGAAGAAGATGCACCTAGTCTTGCTGCAGCTTGATATGCCAAGGCTGGTGGATATCCAGGAGAGGCTTCCTCTTCTCTGAAGAGAAAGGGAAGGAGGGGTGGGAAGAGGAGAGGTGAGGGGGAGGGACTGGGAAGAGAAGAGGGAGGAGAAGCTTTAATCAGGATGTAAAGTAAATAAATGACTTAATAAAAAAGAACATTTTATAAAAAAAAAATTAAAGATCTACAGAAGAGCTGTTGCATATTTGAAAAAACAAACAGAAAACTCCAAAGGGGATGGGGGGAACAAAACTGAATTGTTAGGGGGAAAAGCAGAAAATAGAGAAAAAGAAACAAAACACAGTCTTGTCTAGGAAGTATCTGACTAACAGAAGAGTTCTGAGAAAAAAAGATAAAAGAAATCACTGTGGAAATCTCACGAGGACACTTTCCCAGCTCTGACGCTGGGGAAGGAGCCACGAGGCAAACAGTATCAATACCTGCTGCAGGCATATCATGAAATGCCTTAGTACAATGGACTAGACTTTCAACAGTAATTATTACTTTTAACCATGCACATGTGCGTGGTGGGTACGTGTACACAAGTGACCAGAGGTGTAAGGTCCTAGGCGGGAGTTCCAGGCAGCTAAGAGCTGCAGATGTGGGTACCTCTTGGTGGGGTGCCAGGGAATCGTGAACCCAGCAGAGTCCTCTGCAAGAGCAGGTCATGCCCTGACTACTGAGCCGCTGGGATGGATTTTAAAGGCTCTCAGAGAAGTAATGCATTGTGCTCTAAGATTTAGGAGTAAGAAGACTATTCAGTTTCTCAGCAGTTATCTGAAAAACAGCAGAACAGGGCTTTCTAAGGAAATGGTTTCCGTCCGGAATCCCGCATCCATCAAACCCTCCCTCAGTCCTGTGGGTACCATGGAGGCATCTGCAAATCTGCCGTGTCTCAGGAAGAAGCTTTTGCATCTACTGTTTGTTAGGAAGCTACTTGAAGATGTGTCACTGAAATGTCCCCAGGAGGGACAGATCCAGAAAGCAGGAAAGTGACAACATGACAGAGTAGTCGCTAAGCCACAGCTGTGTGGAAGGCTAAGTAACTAGTCTGGTAACTCGTTTAGAAGGTCCAAGAGGAAAGCGCCCAGATAACCAATGAAGTCAACAGGCCTCAGGATGTGTGGCCACAGGGAAGGAGAGCAGAGGAGCGTCTTAACCCCACTGGAGAGAGTTTGGGAAGAATCAGTGCAAGTACAAAAAAAAAAAAATTACCCCAAAAAATACAAAAAAAATCTACAATAAAGGAGAAAGCACAATGTGGCACTCAGCAGTAAATAACACACAGACACAACTGGGCAAATAACTTACATTGATGTAACCATAAACGTTTGTTGTCCTGCTCTGAGAGGGTGGAGGGGAGAGAAGTGGGCCTGGGTGGCGTAAGAGGCCATGTCTTCATCCTCCACAGTAGGAATCACTAGTAACATCTAAAATTAAACCAGGAAGAGCAATGAACACTTGCAACAGGGTGTTTGCATATGACTCTGTCTGCCTATCTGGGCTGAAGACATCAAATACGAGGCACCAGGGCCAGGACGACGGCTCAGCAGGTAAGGACTTGCCACCATGCATTCAACCTGGGTTCAATTTCTGGGACCTATACACTGGAATGAGAGAAACAAATTCTCACAAACTGTCCTCTGACTGGCAGGCATGCACCCACATACATGCACACGTATACAATACATTCTAAATAAATAATTCTAAAAGAGTTTAAATGGATTTGTTGCCTCTAACAAGGCTCCTACTGGACACTGCAGGCTAACAAATAAAAGGTCAGAGCCAAAAATAGGTTTCCTCTTTTGCAGTTGGCCAGTGAGATACCACAAACCCTCAACCATCACAGGACGTGTCAAGGACACAGATTATCCTCCAGAATTTGACAGTGAGACCCTATTGCTATAGACACCACATACTTGAGTCATAGAATATGAAGAAATCAAGCTGGTAATGATCTAGAAGCTTTGTCCCTACTGGTTAACATTCAAAGTACGAGAAGGTGCTATGCACACTACTGGGGGGAAAATAACCACCCATCGTACCCACTTATGAACCCTGCAAGCTACAATAATGACCAGCCTGGCAAGACACGCCCACTGGTGCAGTAGTAAGGTAAATGTCATGAGTGTAACTAATCACTTTCTCATTATTTTTAATAGTTCCTTAAGATAAGACTCTATACCTGACACTGTTACTGAGGCCAAGAACCTGTGGCTTGACATAGGCCCTCAGGCAGAACAATTGCTATCATTCTACTAAGTGAACACAGTATTTAACAACCTGCTAATGGCTTATCAAAACACTTATAGGTTAGTGCATCTGTCAACCCTCATTAGAAAAGTTTGTTTCTTCATTCAGTAGATGGCAATTAATGGAGACCCACAAGTGGTCAATGCGCAGGCCATAAAGACTGTGGAGTGTTCAGCTCTGCACAGCTATATCCCACAGCTATATCCCACAGCTATATCCCACAGCTA